CTAACACTAATATTACTGTTAGTACTACTACTACTATTACTTATACTACTACTACTGCTACTCCCACCACTACTACTAACACTACTATTACTGTTAGTACTACTACAACTACTACTATTATTATTACTACTACTGATAATAATATGTGACAAATATGCACCATTACATGCCTTCAGTGGAGTTATTAGAGCATTTCATTGCTTAACTATCCACACACAGATACACAAAGTAAAGAAAGTTTTTCATTTCAAAGTAAACAGTTTCATGTCCATTGAAGCGGACATTACTTCTCTTTACTTTAAACTACTTAGCTTTAGATTAAACCCATACAGTTCAATTAACCGTCAATGGGGCTTCGTTCAACAATAGCAACTATGACTATAAAAGTCATAACGTACATAAAAGTACAGCTGTGAGCACCATGGATCCAGATATTAATAATAATTATTATATTATAACATGGAATTCTAAAAAAAAAAAAAACATTCAAGAAAGCGAAAGAGGCAATAATACAAAAAAACGATTGTTGTTGTAGTAAAGAGGTTACTAAAGATGAATGCATTGTTGTTGTTGTCTTGACTTGTAAAGTCAGAGACACAGTGTTACAACAACTGTAGCAAGTTCTCCAAGCATTCGGGAATAACTTCCCAGCCAACCTACCAACATTCACTATGTTTTTGCCCACTAGAGGGCAACAAAACAGTGAAATGGAGCCCAAAAAATTTTTTTTGCTGAAATTTTGCTGAAGAAAAACCTGCACTACACATAGTAACACTAACTGCAAGAACATCTTGGGCACCTCTTTAAAGTAAAAGATGTTTTGTTGTTGTTGTTGTTGCAAATAAAATCTTCTTGTGCTTTATTGGATTGTCATTAAAATAAAAACTAATACTTAAAACTTACATGAAAACTCCACCCTGAACCACTTGCAAGTGGTACCCAAGATTTATTTTATAATGAAATTAGTTTTTCGTCTAAACTTCTTTCATTGAAAAGTTGGTCTCTTTTCATTAACCGTTTCCTCCATTACCCACAATGCCATACAGTGATGCAGTGGGATTTAGCCCTCGCTTCATTACGGTTCAGCAGCGCTTTAGCACTATGGCCTGTCAAGTTTAGTCAAATTTAGGCTGCCTGTCAAGTCTAGCACTTGGAGTCCAGTGTTTTTACCAATCTCTGCTGCGCTGGATTTCTCATTAACATGACGTCGCTGGAAAATGGTGAGTGAGAAAAGTAACTCTTGCTCTATTGGGGTTTTTTTAGGAGCCAACAGAGAAACCTGACCGTCATCCCTTATGTTTGAGATTTGTTTACTTTTTTTTCTCTCTCCTATTAAATACCACTGTAAATGCGAAAGCAATAACAATGTACCCCTGTGACATCACAGTTGACACAACCAACAAATATTGCCAGAATCACCAGTCACTTCACAAATATTTTAATATACAGTTGCAATGAAAATGATTCAACCCCCATTGTAAATCCGGTTTATTGTCAAAGTTTACAGACTTTCAGCTGTTTGCGATGAACAAATCAAACTTATAATGATTTCTCCAGTTTTACAATTATTCAACCCCTTCATGGCAAGCATCTTTAGCACTTAGTAGAGCACTCTTTTACTGTTATGACCTGCCGCAAACAAGATGCATAGCTTCAGGCAGCATTCTAGCAAGAAATCTTCTCCCATTCCTCATGAGCAATGGCCTCCAGTTCACTAATATTCTTGGGTTTGCATGCTGCAACCGCTTTCTTCAAATCCCACCAGAGAATTTCAGTCAGGTGACTGATAGCCTTGTAGAATCTTTCAGGACTTCTTCTGCAACCAAGCCTTGGTGGAATTTGAGGTATGCTTGGGATCATTGTCCTTTTGGAAGGTCCAATGGCGCCCAAGCTTCAGCTTCCTCACAGACGGCATGGCATTTTCTCCTAGGATTTCTTGATACTTCAATGAATCCATCTCGCCTTCCACACGCTGCAGGCTTCCAGTGCCAGAGGATACAAAGCAGCTCCAGAGCATCACCGAGCCACCACCATGCTTGACTGTGGACAGAGTGTTATTTCTTCATTCTTCTTTCTTCAGACATACCACTGATCCATCGTGCCGTAAAGTTTTGTTTCATCGCGCCACATAACAAAATCTCAGAACTTCTGTGGCTTATTTATATGATTTTGAAGCGACTGTTCTTGTGCTTTTGGGTCAGTAGCGGTGAACGTCTTGGACTTCTGGCATGGAAACCTTCTTAATAAGGGCCTTACTGTGCTCACTGAAACCTCAGTGTCTGTTACCACCAAGTCTTGCTGCAGGTCTTCTGCAGTCACTCTAGGGTTTTTCCACAAACTGCCTTCTCAGAAATCTGCTTGTAGCCATTGATAGCTTCCTTTTTCTGCCCCGTCCAGGTATTTAATATATTTTCTACCCCTAGCCAGTTCATGTGTTCCAGCTCAAGCACACCTGGTGCAAATAATGAAGCCCTTGATTAGTCGCATCAGGTGTGCTTGAGACAACACCTGTCTTGCATATTTGTGCTGTTGTGAGGGATTCTATTCAGGGGGTTGAATAATTTTGAAACTGGAAAAGTCATTATAAGTTGCATTATCAGTTGAATTTGTGGAAGCCACATGAAGCTTTCGTCATGTATTTCAATTGCTTTTGTTTGATTTGTTCGTTTCAAGCAGCTGAAAGTCTGTACATTTTGACAATAAACCTGTTTTACAATGGGGGTTGAATAATTTTGATTGCAACTGTGTACCTATTTAATGTGTTTAAGGGTAGAGGCTTACTTTAACTCTCACAGATCAGTATGCTTTGGTGTCATGTTACTCATTGAGCAATCCAGCATGAAGTCCAAACCCTCAATGACCAAGCAAACAAATTCTGCCACTCTTGAAATAAGCCACGTCACCTCAGTTGACACACCAGCTCTTACCTCTCTATGACTTCTATTACTGTTTTTCAATGCTTGCACTCGTATCTAGCTCTTGTTGATGTCAACCATAGTAGTATTATACCACTCACACCTACTTATGTGTATTCTGATGAGGTATTTATGACCAGATCCCTCCAGACTCTCAAGGCAATGCCATAATGTTATTACATGGATATACATTTTGCACTACATCAGCTATTCTCCTAATGCATCATCACTTTATGGATTAAAACCTCTTAAACCAAGTCAATAAACCTTAACAAAAACGTCTTCGGGTTTAATTGAAATGGAGGTGAGTAATCGTCGTAGCAAATAAGTGATGGTCAATGTTGGCGTTAATGCAGAACGAGAACTAGTTCTTCCTCAGACAAAGGTGGGGTTTTTTTTGTTCATTTAATTATATGCGACGTCAATCAACCCAAACTGAATAGGAACGTATAAATTTTACTGTGATTTCGAGTCGGTAAATGGGCGTGAAAGCATGCAAAGCTTTAGTTCATGCACACAATACTACACAGTAACACTGGCATTATGCCTCCTGCACTTTAGTCTCAAACCATTATACCCCCTCACACCTACTTACATGTATTCCGATGAGCCGACAACGGGTTGTTCAGGTCCCTCAATACACACGACGGCGATTTTCCCCTACAGTCACAATCATTAATATCAGATGAGTTATCACGTAACATACACGTCCTCTTTTCTACCAGCATGCAATAGCTAAAAATTCTGACCGTTCTTCCAGTCAGCTCCAGACTCAGAAGGCACCACTGATGCAAAGGAAGTGTGAAGGAAGACAGAAACGCTGAAGTCGACCCGTTCTCTAATTCCAGCTGCGTGTGGATGTGACCTACAGGGAAAAACGCAGTCGTATGTACAGTATACGCTGCACGTGAATGAAGAGTGATGGAACATTTACTCACCAGTACGTGTCAGAAACAAAGATGGACTGACGTAATTCTCCTTCGCGTCTATGTGGTGTAAAATCCCACACAGACGTTCTTTACATTGTCTGTCTAATAAAACCCAAAGAGAGAAGGCACACCTAAGGATGAAAGACATTATGATTTCAATCCGTCCTGTCGTTTGTTCCTGACCAGAATACACAGTTGTTTTTTTTTTTAATAAATTACCATGGATATGTAATGGCTTTGAGGCGCTGTCCTTCCAGCAGTCCATTCGTGTACGGATGGAGGGTTCTAGTGATGCCAAAGTTCTCCCCAGTGGACCCAAAGAGCGAGGACAGCAAACTGGCGACTTCTAGATATCAAAATCGACATCGTTGAATGCCCACATCGAATCAGCACACATTCAGCTAAACGTCTTAGCATGCTTTCACACCTATTGGTCCAAATTGACATCCACACAAAACTCGTGTGTTTTGTGTGTTGCATCCAGTATTTATGTTGAAATCTCTGGAACTCATAGCATTTATACAGCGTATGGATGACTTTAACAATCAGTTTTATGTATTATAATGTGTTATAATATTCAGTCCTTCCAGGATTTTGCGATCGCAGAAATGAAACGCAAAATCAAGCAAACTCTGCGATATACAGAGGAGCTGTATCTCTTTTTTTTTTTTTTTTTTTTTTTTTTTTACATTACCACAGGTTTGGTCATCACGCGATGAAGCTCTAATCGATTCACGTGCATCTAACATACATAGAGTACAGCTAAAAAGTCTCATTTACCAGCAAAACATGACTGATCTTGAACATGAAAGAGTGCGCAAAACTATTTCATGCGATTGCAATTTCGCCAATTCAAGTGGTTTTCCATAAAAAAAGCCGCATCATAAATTTTTTAAAAAGACGTGATGTAAATCAAGAATTTTGGGCTGTAATTGGGCATGGGCCGGCTTGGTGGTTAAGGCTCTGGGTTACTGATCAGAAGGTCGAGGGTTTAAGCTCCAGCACTGCCAAGCTGCCGCTGTTTGGCCCTTGAGCCCTTAACTTGAGCAAGGCAATTTTTTTTTTTACTAACTTTTGAAATAACAATTATAAAAACTGGAGGTAGTTTTCTACTATTTTAAATCTTTCAAGATTTAAATTTAAAATTTAGGGGTGGGGCACAATGGCTTAGTGGTTAGCATGTTTGCCTCACACCTCCAGGGTTGCTGGTTCAATTCCAGGCTCTGCCCTGTGTGCTTAGGAGTTTGCATGTTCTCCCCGTGCTTCGGGTAAATTTCTGTTAGTTTGTTAGTATAGCTATATATCATGATACATACAGTAGTGTGTATCATAGAAATGTCTTCAAATATCATGATGTAATGTTTTTGCCTCATCAGTCAGCTCTACAGAAATGTTTGGTTCACTTTTTGCACTCGAGTCGAATCACGTTCTCAGTTCACTTGGAAGCAGACTGTGATGACAAGGCGATGCTTCGGTGTGGTTCTTTCGGTAGGCGAGAACACACCAAACACACTCGGGTCTGAAGCTATACAACCTTGTCCGAGAGCGTCTGAGCGAGGTGGTCTCAGTCTGCTTCCAACCGAACCCTAGCTTGAACTAATGAGTGAAAGCTGACAGCCACACCGTTTTCCACTGGACACTCAGATTTCCGAGCTTTCCAAAGCATCTCCGTCTCCCAGCTAGGACACAGCAGGTGCTCTTTAAACGTCCGACTCAGAGGATCGAGGACGGTGAAAGTTTCCACTGCGCTGGCCAGAGACTCCCGGCTCGGCTCAGACGATACACCGCTGCTCATCCAGACACGGACAAAACAGCTAAGCACCCAGTCAGACATCGGTATCCTCCAGTCAGGCTGATAAACCAACCAGTCAGGGAGATGCAGCTTCACAACACGGGTTCTGTGGGCACCAGGAGAACACTCCCACCGTCTCTGGACGATCACAGATGTGGTTCCGGTGTCGAAGGAGACCAACACCTGCAGATGGACCATGGATGAATCACTGCAGGAGTACTCGACCCACAGAGGGTGGACTGAGACTGGAGATTCATGAGGGTTTATGAGTGTGATAGCACCTGGGCTGCTTTGGATGAAACTTGAACAGTATATTACCTGAAAAAGATAGACAGAGACGCCATGCCAGAATTATTGACACCCTCATGAAAATGAGTTTCAGCTGAAACCATATGCATAGAGTAAACTGATCAGCACCCCCTCAACGAATCAATCTGGCGAATCATCCAATGGAGAAATGAACAACACGTCCTTCTGTAATGTCTGACAGATTCGGAGAAACCTGTAAAGGACCCTCCTCTATGCAAAACATTTTTATGTGTACATGTCTATGCCAAGCCAGTATACAGTCCTAATCCAGAGACTGAAATGGCCATTAAAATTGAAAAAGTTGGGATAATATTTAAAAAATAAAATAAAATCCAAAAGCAAAACCAGTATGTCAGTCGGTAATGCAAGATGGCAAATTTCTGCATTAAGATTGGGTTCGACACGTTCCTATCCATCTTATAATGCGTTATACTCTACACATCATTGTAATGACTTCTTTTAAAAAATGCATTACACTTTACAGCTATCTTTTGATGCATTATGAATTGGTAAGACAATAAAATCATACGTATTATTAATAACACACCAATAACATAGAAAGCAAGAACCTTTCTCTAGAGCATCACAAGACCTGTCTGAACGTTATTTTATTTATTTTTATTTTTTTTATTAACACCAGAGAGATGATCAGAAAATGGCAGTACACTTCGGAAACAACTGGTGCCTACAACTCCACATAACCGAAGCCTCATAATGCATTATAAACCCTATGACTGGAATGCCTTTCCATCAACCACCTATATTGGTTTATGAATGCATTATAACAGGTTATAGGTCAAATATATTTATTAAACAAATAAATAAATACTTTTAAAATGGAAAGTAAGATTTTACAAGAATTTCTTATAATTTCTTTTTTTTAAAATAAGGCTTTTTAAAAAAATAAAAGTTTTACTTCATTGTAATGTTTACTCTATTTCTCGATCTTTCCTTTCTAAACAATAATAATAATAATAATAATAAAAATAATAGTGAATGCTGAAAATTTTCATTCATTAAATGGGAAGTTACTCACAAGAATAGCCAGCTGAAGTGACAGCCTCCTGGAGATCCGATGCACTTCTCTCATCTTCACAAGTGGGGTAAAACAAATCAACCGTGTCAGATGAATAAAGAGCTCCATTTAATCAGGACTAATTAGATCAGTTCGCATCTTTCACATCGGATGAGCTTTTTAATCATGGCATGTCGTGTCCAAACCGCAGCACCTCCACGTGAACGGCGTGACAGCAGCGTCCATCCGAGTCACTTCACCGAATCGATTCTCTCAAGTGATTCGAGCTACGGTTGGTTTGATTCTTTTCCATACATACCGTTGTGAAAGGCTAGAATGTCTTCTTCCCCTTCTACATTTCCACATGATCACACTGTATTCCACATCGAATAGCCTCATTTGAATGTATAACAATTAAATTAATCAATCAATCGATCTCAGATACCAGGTAAGCTTACATTTTGAGTGAATAAAACAGTATATTCTGTATATACCACTATTTGTCTTTTTTCTTTCTCTCTTTTTTTTAAAGTGATGCCCTACAAGATAAACATATTAGCAATTTAAGAAAAAAAGAGAGATTTGAAACCCTAGCTATAATAAAAGAATCAAAATCATCTACATTCATTTCTGCTTCCGAGTCAACTCGCCCAAATGATTCACTTTGAAGAGTCGTTTGAAAAGAACCGATTCATTTGAATGTCGCTGATCAGTATTATTTATATGAGGTGTTTCTCAGGCGGAAGAACATCCTGTTAGGTTCAGATGTAAGCAAACACAAAGCTGCAGCTCCACCCGAACACGCAAAGGTAAAGGCAAAGGAAAATCTACCTTTTCCAGCAGGTAGATGAAATTAAAATGACCTGGACCTGGCTGCAGTTTGGACTGATTTTTCTAAAAGGAACCAGTGAAAAATGCCTTTAAATTCTTACTGTGCAACAATTCCCAGCTGCTTCAGCCTGAACCAGCCACATAGAAATTTGATTAACTCTAGGATATCTGCTAGTGAATTTGAATGATCAGAAATTCAAATAATATTCAAATTTATTTTGGCTGTCGAGTGATTTATACAGAACATACTATTTCATTTCTTCAGTTAAAAATCCAGCAAAATATAGCAACAGTTACATTCTCTACAAGCAGAAATTTACATCTTAATGACCGTTTTGACTATTAGACTATTAAATACGTCAAGATAAAATTCGAAACGGATCTATACTATATGAGTCCTACATTTTTAATTTAATTACCGGGGGTTAAAAAAAAAGAACTTCTCCATGATATTCAATTTATTTATTTATTTAGATGCTCCTGTATATTATAGCACAGTGCTGTTGAGCTCTTGATTCTGATTGGTCAGAAGGTGCGGATTCATTTTCTATAGCAGGAGCTCTGACATTAATGCAGGTTTACATCAAAGCACTTGCTCTAAAATATTTCGGGTTCTATAATATCGTATACATGTGTCAGTGCTTTTTGGACGTGGAAACATCTTCCTAACAGGAGCTCTGGTTTCTCACAAACATGACGAGCGACATTTTTGTTCTGTTTTAGAGAAAAGGAGTCTGATGAGGGAACGATTGTCTATAGCTGCTATAAGTAAGAACAGGAACTAACTTGTCGGTTAAAAACATTAGTTCAGTAATACATTTAAGGAAAATTGCATAAAGATAGAACAGCGGTGACAGCAGTCCAGTCATATCAGACCTCCTCTACTGCCTCAGAGTAAACTCTTACTTCACATCATCCTTATAATTCTTTGCACAGATGCACAACAACAACAACAAAAAAAACCCCAACCTTTTCTTTAAAACCGTTTATTGCTTTCATGCATGAGCGCCATAAAATTCCCAACACCTAGACTACAGTCCTCGACACTACAGATGATGCAAAATATTCCTCCTCCCTTTCTGTACAAATGTAAATTATCATAAATAGAAGATCAAAGGGAGACATTAAAGTAGGAAACCGCTAGGGTGGAACCAGGAGTCTGATACACACCTTGTGTCTGTGAACTGGTATTGCAGCAGGTACGTAAAGTGTATTAATGCAGAAATGAACTGCTGTTTACTGAAATGAGATACACACACCCCAATACATACACACACACACCAACACCAGAAAGTCATTTTATAGCTTCTTCGTGCAAAGAGGTACAAATGATGCATGGTCACATTTGATCAAGAGTGCATTCCTGTTTTTGACTGATATACATTTGTTACATCCGTACCATCTTTCACCATTTATTAAAAAAGAAAAAAAAAAAATACATCAAAAGGTCCATGTCTGAGGAGCTGGTGTCTCATGCAGCGCTCGCTTTGGTTAGTCCAAGACACTGGGGAACCGAATACGTGAACGATACAGCGGTCTGTAAAACACACAGGATTGTGCGGGGAAATCGTATAGCGCCGACACTCTGCGTGTCAGCTGAGAACTGAATTTAGCATCAAAATAACGTCTAGTCCTCCTTGAAGCTGCCTCATGAGCCCGGAGACATGTAGATGTTAGAGACGGTAAAGGAGAACCATAAACACTGACAATGTTGTTTGGTTAAAAAAGACAAAACAAAAAAAAAACCTGCATCAGCTGGCAATTTTATTTTTAAAACACTCTTTCATGTAAACGAACCTTGGGAACACTTGACTTAAGGATGGTGTTCATAGAGATACACACACACACACACACACACACACACACACACACACACACACACACACACAAACCTTCATAACAATTGATAAAAACCTAAATCACTATTTATAAAGGCTTCTTCCAACTGATATGAGCGGTCATGAAGCGTACAATACCAGTCATGTGAACTGTACAGTGTTATGACTGTGACATTCGACTGTTATAACAACTGACTCATGTCAAAGATCAAAACTCAAATTTAAAAAAAAAAAACAAAGAAAAAAAGTACAACTACGTGAAAATCAACTTAAGTGACAGAGAAAATATTCATAATCCCGTCATTAGTCCTGACGTCATTAGTCTTATGTCAACTCAGCAGAAATATGAGATTCACTTAACCTCACTTGACATAGCATCATGTACGTGTCAGAACAGTCCATACAAGTACACAGAGCTACAAAGCCGAAACAGGTTTATGACGA